TGTTAGAATTCTCATGTTTAGTATTTTGTTTAATTGACGGTGGGTGCTCTTTGTGCAGACATTGGAATCCATAGAAAATAGTTTTAATTACCGTTATTAAAAATATATTATTATTTTGATTTACAGATTTTTTTAAAATTATAATTATATAGAATTTACATACAAACCTGATTATAGCATAGATATACTTACATTATGCACGTATGAACATGATGTGATTTGTTTAAAATATATAAATAATTTTAGCGTAACTAACTAACTAACTACTAACTAACTAACTAACTACTAACTAACTAACTAACTAACTAACTAACTAACTAACTAACTAACTACTAACTACAACTAACTAACAACTAACTAACTACTAACTACTAACTAACTAACTAACTAACTAACTAACTAACTAACTAACTAACTAACTAACTAACTAACTACTAACTACTACTAACTAACTAACTACTACTAACTAACTAACTAACTAACTAACTACTAACTAACTAACTAACTAACTAACTAACTAACTAACTAACTAACTAACTAACTACTAACTAACTAACTAACTAACTAACTAACTAAACTAACTAACTAACTAACTAACTAACTAACTAACTAACTAACTAACTAACTAACTAACTAACTAACTACTAACTAACTAACTAACTAACTAACTAACTAACTAACTAACTACTAACTAACTAACTAACGAACTAACTAACTAACACTACTAACTAACTACTAACTAACTAACTAACTAACTAACTAACTACTAACTAACTAACCTAACTAACTAACTAACTAACTAACTCAACTAACTAACTAACTAACTAACTAACTAACTAACTAACTAACTAACTAACTAACTAACTAACTAACTAACTAACTAACTAACTAACTAACTACTAACTACTAACTAACTAACTAACTAACTAACTAACTAACGAACTAACTAACTAACTAACTAACTAAACTAAACGAACTACTAACTAACTAACTAACTAACTACTAACGAACTAACTAACTAACTAACTAACTAACTAACTAACTAACTAACTAACTAACTAACTAACTACTAACTAACTAACTAACTAACTAACTAACTAACTAACTAACTAACTAACTAACTAACTACTAACTAACTAACTAACTAACTAACTACTAACTAACTACTAACTAACTAACTAACTAACTAACTAACTAAGACTACTAACTAACTAACTAACTAACTAACTAACTAACTAACTAACTAACTAACTAACTACTAACTAACTAACTAACTAACTAACTAACTACTAACTAACTACTAACTAACTAACTAACTAACTAACTAACTAACTAACTACCTAACTACTAACTAACTAACTAACTAACTACTAACTAACTAACTAATTAACTAACTAACTACTAACTAACTACTAACTAACTAACTAACTACTAACTAACTAACTAACTAACTAACTAACTAACTAACTACTAACTAACTAACTAACTAACTAGACTATAGACTAGACTATAGACTAGACTATAGACTAGACTGACTAGACTATAGACTAGACTATAGACTAGACTATAGACTAGACTATAGACTAGACTATAGACTAGACTATAGACTAGACTATAGACTAGACTATAGACTAGCTATAGACTAGACTATAGACTAGACTATAGACTAGACTATAGACTAGACTATAGACTAGACTATAGACTAGACTATAGACTAGACTATAGACTAGACTATAGACTAGACTATAGACTAGACTATAGACTAGACTAATAGACTAGACTATAGACTAGACTATAGACTAGACTATAGACTAAGACTATAGGACTAGACTATAGACTAGACTATAGACTAGACTATAGACTAGACTATAGACTAGACTATAGACTAGACTATAGACTAGACTATAGACTAGACTATAGACTAGACTATAGACTAGACTATAGACTAGACTATAGACTAGACTATAGACTAGGACTATAGACTAGACTATAGACTAGACTATAGACTAGACTATAGACTAGACTATAGACTAGACTAGACTATAGACTAGACTATAGACTAGACTATAGACTAACTATAGACTAGACTATAACTAGACTATAGACTAGACTATAGACTAGACTATAACTAGACTATAGACTAGACTATAAGACTAGACTATAGACTAGACTATAGACTAGACTATAGACTAGACTATAGACTAGACTATAGACTAGACTATAGACTAGACTATAGACTAGACTATAGACTAGACTATAGACTAGACTATAGACTAGACTATAGACTAGACTATAGACTAGACTATAGACTAGACTATAGACTAGACTATAGACTAGACTATAGACTAGGACTACAGACTAGACTATAGACTAGACTATGACTAGACTATAGACTAGACTATAGACTAGACTATAGACTAGACTATAGACTAGACTATAGACTAGACTAGACTAGACTATAGACTAGACTATAGACTAGACTATAGACTAGACTACAGACTAGACTATAGACTAGACTATAGACTAGACTATAGACTAGACTATAGACTAGACTATAGACTAGACTATGGACTAGACTATAGACTGGACTATAGACTAGACTGTAGACTAGACTATAGACTAGACTATAGACTAGACTATAGACTAGACTATAGACTAGACTATAGACTAGACTATAGACTAGACTACAGACTAGACTATATACTAGACTATTGACTAGACTATAGACTAGACTATAGACTAGACTATAGACTAGACTATAGACTAGACTATAGACTAGACTACAGACTAGACTATAGACTAGACTATAGACTAGACTATAGACTAGACTATAGACTAGACTATAGACTAGACTATAGACTAGACTATAGACTAGACTACAGACTAGACTATAGACTAGACTATTGACTAGACTATAGACTAGACTATAGACTAGACTATAGACTAGACTATAGACTAGACTATAGACTAGACTGTAGACTAGACTATAGACTAGACTATAGACTAGACTATAGACTAGACTATAGACTAGACTATAGACTAGACTATAGACTAGACTACAGACTAGACTATAGACTAGACTATTGACTAGACTATAGACTAGACTATTGACTAGACTATAGACTAGACTATAGACTAGACTATAGACTAGATTATAGACTAGACTATAGACTAGACTACAGACTAGACTATAGACTAGACTATAGACTAGACTACAGACTAGACTATAGACTAGACTATAGACTAGACTATAGACTAGACTATAGACTAGACTATAGACTAGACTATGGACTAGACTATAGACTGGACTATAGACTTGACTGTAGACTAGACTATAGACTAGACTATAGACTAGACTATAGACTACACTATAGACTAGACTATAGACTACACTATGGAGATTATATACTTTATTGTCGACTGTAGATTATTCTAGACTAAAGACTGGAATATACACTATACTATAGACTAGACTCTATAACCTAGACTAAAATCTTCTCTATAGTGTAGTCTATATTGTAGTCTATAGAGTAGTCTTACTTCTGGTCAAATTTTTTCATCAAAAGGAAATTAATTTTTTTACTGTTGAAAGATTTGTGTGGTAGTAAAAAACATAAAATTTTTTATAGTTTATTTTTTTTTTTAATTTATTATTTTCCACTCATAAGCAGCGTCATACACATTTCATTCGTTTCATTTTTCAACTTTTTTTTTTGGTAATGAATTATTTATTTATTGGTTTATTTTTTTACAAATTGGATTTAAATTTAATTCTATACAATAAATACATAAAAATACGTTATATACAACAACATATACATATAAATTATATACAAAAGTAATTCAAACAACCAGTAAATATATTTGGAAGTTAAACAAAAAGTTATTTTTGATTTAATAAAAAAAAGTTTATTATACTTTAAGTGGCATAATTTTTGCCTTAAATATGTTTGAGTTTTGGGGTAGAATCCTTTAAAGGCAAATAAATTTAATTGAAATTTAAATTTGTACTTTGTTTTTTTTTTTTTTTTTTTGAGGAAAACATAAAACTTTTTACAACCAAGTAGTTGAGAAACTAATTCTGTATGTGTGTAAGTGTTTTATTTTAAAAGAAATTTATAATTTAATAAAATAATTTCAGTCCTAAAGCTAAGATTTCTTATTTAATAAACATATATACACTGATAGTTTCACTTCTGTTTAAAAACTTTTCTATAGTTTTAATAGTTTCAGATAGTTTTAATAAAATTAAATTTATTTTTTAACATGTGCCACATTTTTTAACATTTATCACACATTTTATTAAACTAAATTCTGTTTTTTCTTTAATTTTATTATAAAAAATATTTAATACTTTAAGGAACAAAGGAGTATGACATAAGGAAATTTTCCTTTAGCCATAAAACTCCCCTTTACATATGATTACAATTTACAATAAAAAGGACAACATTACACTAACACAAATATTGTGTAAATATGTTTGGAAATGTATAGAAGAAATCTTTTTTTCTGAGTCTGTGTAAGTGTTTGTCGTTTGTAAGTGTAAGAGCATATTTTTTTTTAATTTAATTTTACAATATAGTATCGGCCTTTAAGACCACAGTCATTGTACCTCACCTCTTATCATTAAGTATAACACCACTTTGAGCTACAGCAGTGGCTGCAGTTAAACGACCATTATCCACTCCTCCACTCACTTTAACTCCTACACCACTATTGCTGTTGCCATTGTGCTGATGTTGCATAGTGGATTGACGTCGATGCGAATGATGATTATAAGCACTTAAACGTCCCAAACCATTTGTATTGTTGTTGCTATTGAAACTTCCTCCCCCTCCGACACCACCACCACCGCCACCACCTGTACAATGTGCATTATTCAAGTGTACAGAAGCACGATTATAATTGGTTGTACTCCTCATTGACATGTTGACAATGCTGGTGTCCATCATTCCCGTGGCAGTTGAGTGTTGCCTTAGACGTGTTTGTCTTTTGACACAAAAACAGCAGAGATATTGATTGAAATGTGCACGAAATGCTCCCGATACACAATACAATGCCACAGGATTTACGCATGAATTGAGAAAACTAAAATTTTTGCATAGAAATTGTTTGTTGGGGGGGAATTGTAAAAAGAGAAAGAGGAAATAAAAATCAATTATCACCTCAACAAAGAGCATTAAGTTAAACCACAAATTTTATTAATTAAATTGGAATTTAAATTAATAGGAAAATTGGAAATGACAATACATTCGAAATCATTGTTTGTAGAATTAAAAATTGGTCATAATTAAAAGCAGCTTTTCTATAGAATAGTTTTAGTTATGAAAAAGTTCTTGTTGAGATTTAGTTTTGTCCTAGTTCTGTTCTAGTTCTGTTCTACTTCTGTTCTAGTTCTAGTTCTGTTCTAGTTCTGTTCTAGTTCTGTTCTAGTTCTGTTCTAGTTCTGTTCTAGTTCTGTTCTAGTTCTGTTCTAGTTCTGTTCTAGTTCTGTTCTAGTTCTGTTCTAGTTCTGTTCTAGTTCTGTTCTAGTTCTGTTCTAGTTCTGTTCTAGTTCTGTTCTAGTTCTGTTCTAGTTCTGTTCTAGTTCTGCTCTAGTTCTGTTCTAGTTCTGTTCTAGTTCTGTGCTAGTTCCTGTTCGAGTTTCTGTTCTAGTGCTGTTCTAGTTCTGCGTCTAGTTCTGGGTGTAGTTCTGGTGTAGTTCTATTCTAGTTCTTGGTGTAGTTTCTATTCTAGTTCTGTTCTAGTTCGTGTTTTCTGTCTAGTTTCTATGTTTCTAAGTTCTGTTCTAGTGTCTGTTCTAGTTCTTTCTAGTTCTGTTCTAGTTCTGTTCTAGTTGTCTAGTTTCTAGTGCTGTTCTAAGTTCCTGTTCTAGTTCTGTTCGAAGTTCTGTTCTAAGTTCTGTTCTAGTTCTGTTCTAAGTTCTAGTTCTAGTTCTAGTTATCTGTTCTAGTTCTGTTCTAGTTCTAGTTCTAAGTTCTGTTCTAGTTTCGTCTAGTTCTGTTCTAGTTTCCTGTTCTAGTTCTGTTCTAGTTCTGTAGTTCTGTTCTAGTTCTGTTCTAGTTCTGTTCTAGTTCTGTTCTAGTTCTGTTCTAGTTCTGTTCTAGTTCTGTTCTAGTTCTGTTCTAGTTCTGTTCTAGTTCTGTTCTAGTTCTGTTCTAGTTCTGTTCTAGTTCTGTTCTAGTTCTGTTCTAGTTCTGTTCTAGTTCTGTTCTAGTTCTGTTCTAGTTCTGTTCTAGTTCTGTTCTAGTTCTGTTCTAGTTCTGTTCTAGTTTCTGTTCTAGTTCTGTTCTAGTTCTGTTCTAGTTCTGTTCTAGTTCTGTTCTAGTTCTGTTCTAGTTCTGTTCTAGTTCTGTTCTAGTTCTGTTCTAGTTCTGTTCTAGTTCTGTTCTGTTCTAGTTCTGTTCTAGTTCTGTTCTAGTTCTGTTCTAGTTCTGTTCTAGTTCTGTTCTAGTTCTGTTCTAGTTCTGTTCTAGTTCTGTTCTAGTTCTGTTCTAGTTCTGTTCTAGTTCTGTTCTAGTTCTGTTCTAGTTCTGTTCTAGTTCTGTTCTAGTTCTGTTCTAGTTCTGTTCTAGTTCTGTTCTAGTTCTGTTCTAGTTCTGTTCTAGTTCTGTTCTAGTTCTGTTCTAGTTCTGTTCTAGTTCTGTTCTAGTTCTGTTCTAGTTCTGTTCTAGTTCTGTTCTAGTTCTGTTCTAGTTCTGTTCTAGTTCTGTTCTAGTTCTGTTCTAGTTCTGTTCTAGTTCTGTTCTAGTTGTGTTCTAGTTCTGTTCTAGTTCTGTTCTAGTTCTGTTCTAGTTCTGTTCTAGTTCTGTTCTAGTTCTGTTCTAGTTCTGTTCTAGTTCTGTACTAGTTCCGTTCTAGTTCTGTTTTGCCCATATATCCGTATACTTAATAATTGGTATTTATACATTTTTTTCAAATAAATTGATGTGGAATATTTAAAAGTCCTTAGAATTGTGTGAAATTGACAGAAAGGTTGTAGAGTAATATTGTCTATAAATTGTATAAATTTGCTTATAATTAAACCACACATATAAAAGTACGTCATATATCCTTTTTCCATAAATTAATAAATTTCCATAACTTCTTATACATTTGCATTTAAAATCATTTTATAAGTATATATAAATATATTTTAATACTTACTAAGTACAAAATCCAATAATACGTATTGTATGCCAAAACTCATCAAAATCTTCGCGTGCTGTGGGATTCAAATGAAACCACAATTCAAACAAATGATAGGGAAAGAAACAAACAAAAAACACTGAAAATAGAAGAATAAAATAAAGATATTTTATTGAAATCAAATTAAATTTATGGGGAATTACACTTCATTGCCTAAACAATTTCACAGCAATTTACAACAACAAATGATTTTATATGGAAATGAAAAATAGACTTGCTGCTACCTAAACACTAGTATTTTTAGATGCTCAATTGTCTATTTATCTTAACAAATCATTCAAGTGTCAATCAATCTATAAGTTTCACACGCAGCTGATGCTTATCTTTAAATTAAACACTAAAAAGAAAAAATAATCTTTAAAACTAAAAAAAGTAGCTATTGCATAAAAGAACACAATGCCACATAAGTTGCACTAATTGTGTGTGTCTAACTGTCTTTCGCATTGTTCACAAAACACGACAGGAAACGCAAGTAAAATGTAATACGTTTAAAATGGTAACTAAAGCAGCAAAAAGAAAAATTACGTCAACAAGCAGGGAGTTTTTTTCCCAATACTTACCCACTACAAATGCCACTACCATACGAGCTACATAACGTCTTGCTCGTACTTGGGAACGACTCTGCATACTTAACGTTTCACCGGGCATATCACGTGCGCTGACATGTAAACGTTGGGCCATCATCAGATATAAAACTGCAATTATAAATAGTGGCAACAAATAGTACACAAATGCCTTGGTTACCACTACATATCTGGGTGTAGGAATAGAGCAAAAAACGACATAAAACGACAGCAAGGATATAAATGGAAATGGAAAAAAGAAAAATAGATAAATATTAGCAACAAATGTAATATTTGCAAAAAAATATTGTTATTTTCGTGTTTAATTCAAATTAGGAAAAACTACAACATTTCCAAAGTAAAAGGTCGATTTTGTCGTAACAACTTTTCTAAGAAAAAGTTGCTCTGTTATGGACAACTTTTCTATAGAAAAAGTTTGCTCCGTTACAGACAACTTTTCTATAGAAAAAGTTGCTCTGTTACAGACAACTTTTCTATAGAAAAAGTTGCTCTGTTACAGACAACTTTTCTATAGAAAAAGTTGCTCTGTTACAGACAACTTTTCTATAGAAAAAGTTGCTCTGTTACAGACAACTTTTCTATAGAAAAAGTTGCTCTGTTACAGACAACTTTTCTATATAAAAAGTTGCTCTATTACAGACAACTTTTCTATAGAAAAGTTGCTCTGTTGCAGTCAACTTTTCTATAGAAAAAGTTTGCTCTGTTACAGACAACTTTTCTATAGAAAAAGTTGCTCTGTTACAGACAACTTTTCTATAGAAAAAAGTTGCTCTGTTACAGGCAACTTTTCTATAGAAAAGTTGCTCTGTTACAGACAACTTTTCTATACAAAAAGTGCTCTGTTACAGACAACTTTTCTATAGAAAAAGTTGCTCTGTTACAGACAACTTTTCTATAGAAAAAGTTGCTCTGTTACAGACAACTTTTCTATAGAAAAAGTTTGCTCTGTTACAGACAACTTTTCTATAGAAAAAAGTTTTCTCTGTTACAGACAACATTTCTATAGAAAAAGTTGCTCTGTTACGGACAACTTTTCTGTAGAAAAAGTTGCTCTGTTATAGACAACTTTTCTGTAGAAAAAGTTGCTCTGTTACAGATAACTTTTCCATAGAAAAAGTAGCTCTGTTACAGATACCTTTTCCATAGAAAAAGTTGCTCTGTTACAGATACCTCTTTCTATAGAAAAAGTTGCTCTGTTACAGACAACTTTTCTATAGAAACAGTTTGCTCTGATACAGAAACTTTTCTGTAGAAAAAGTTGCTCTGTTATAGACCACTTGTAGAAAAAGTTGCTCTGTTATAGACTAACTTTTCTTATTTCCAAGAAAAAGTAGCTCTGTTACAGATACCTTTTCTATAGAAAAAGTTGCTCTGTTACAGATACCTTTCTATAGAAAAAGTTGCTCTGTTACAGATAACTTTTCTATAAAAAAAGTTGCTCTGTTACAGACAACTTTTCTGTAGAAAAAGTTGCTCTGTTACAGACAACTTTTCTATAGAAAAAGTTGCTCTGTTACAGGCAACTTTTCTATAGAAAAAGTTGCTCTGTTACAGACAACTTTTCTATACAAAAAGTTGCTCTGTTACAGACAACTTTTCTATAAAAAATGTTGCTCTATTACAGACAACTTTTCTCTAGATAAAATTGCTCTGTTACAGACAACTTTTCTATAGAAACAGTTGCTCTGTTACAGACGACTTTTCTAAAGAAAAAGTTGCTCTGTTACAGACAACTTTTCTATAGAAAATGTTGCTCTATTACAGACAACTTTTAAAATTGCTCTGATACAAACATATTTGCTCTGATTCAGGCAACTTTTCTGTAGGAAAAGTTGCTCTGAAAAACTTGTTCTCATATTTTGTCAAGCATTTCTTCTGTGTGAAGTATCTTTTTGGAAATGGTGTTAATTTTAATATGTCTATAAATTACTCTTAGTCTCATTACTAAACCAATTCGATTAAGACCTAAAACATGCCATTATACAATAACAATAATATAACCCACCTGGCATAAATTTCAGAATTGTTGCGCTGCTTACCAAACGGTGTACAGATTATTATGGTTAGATTAGTTTTATCATCGATTAGTATATGTTGTAAATCAGACATTACTAGTGAAGGTGTGGCAAATGTTATGCTCAAAAGCCAAATCATGGCAGCCGTTATAACCGTTAATGGTTTTGTCTATGGAAGCAATAATAAAAAAAATAATATAATAAAAATAAAATTTATAGCAACTCAGCACTATATATCTCTTTTCTCTGTTAAATAATATATATTTATTATGTTTTAATACAATTTAATTTACCTGTAATTTTCTTAAAGGATTTACAATAGCACAATAACGTTCGCCCGACAGAGCGGTTAGTGTGAACACTGAAACTCCTATAGAAACATCTTTGAAAAATTCGGTTACTTGACACATACTTTTGCCAAATGTCCAACTGTCAGTGGTATACACTAAAATGGCTAAGGGAACACAAACGATTATAACTAAGAGATCAGCTAAAGCCAAGGAGAGAATGTAACTGTAAGGGGAAGAAATTTGGAAAAAACAATAAATTAAATAGGAAATGGTAATTTTTCAATGTATTAAAATCTATAAAGATGTTAGAAAATCTATAAAATTAATGAAAGTAAATGTAAGTTAATGCTCTCAATATAATTTACAAATTTGGTTAAATTTAAAACCAAACATAAACGAGCCGGCCATATATCGTTTTTAGGAAAATCTATTAACAATAACATTTTCCACAACTTTTCAATAGAAAAAGCATTTGAACTAGAACTGAACTAAAAATTAACTAGTACTGAACCACTCCTGAACTAGAACTGTCATTTCAAAGAGAAAGCTGATGAAATAACAGATAGTTTGCATGAAAATACGTATACGTGATATTTAATTCCATTATAATTAAATAATACTCATACGTTCGCAACTATTCTTGGAAAACATTATTTTGTAGAAAAGCAGGAGATTCGTTGGAATGCAATGAACTAGAACTGTACTAGAACTGAACTAGAACTGAACTAGAACTGAACTAGAACTGAACTAGAACTGAACTAGAACTGACTAGAACTGAACTAGAACTGAACTAGAACTGAACTAGAACTGAACTAGAACTGAACTACTGAACTACTGAACTAGACTGAACGAGAACTGAACTAGAACTGAACTAGAACTGAACTAGACAAGACTGACTAGAACTGAACTAGAACTGAACTAGAACTGAACTAGAACTGAACTAGAACTAGAACTGAACTAGGAACTGGAACTAGAACTGAACTAGAACTGAACTAGAACAATGAACTAGAACTGAACTAGAACTGAACTAGAACTGACTAGAACTGAACTAGAACTGAACTAGAACTGAACTAGAAACTGAACTAGAACTGAACTAGAACTGAACTAGAACTGAACTAGAACTGAACTAGAACTGACTAGAACTGACCTAGAACTGACTAGAACTGAACTAGAACTGAACTAGAACTGAACTAGAACTGAACTAGAACTGAACTAGAACTGAAACTAGAAACTGAACTAGGAACTGAACTAGAACTGAACTAGAACTGAACTAGAACTGAAAGAACTGAAAACTAGAACTGAACTAGAAACTAACTAGAACTGAACTAGAACTGACTAGAACTGAACTAGAACTGAACTAGAACGAACTAGAACGACTAGAACTGAACTAGAACTGAACTAGAACTGAACTAGAACTGAACTAGAACTGAACTAAGAACTGAAGCTAGAACTGAACTAGAACTGACTAGAACTGAACTAGAACTGAACTAGAAACTGAACTAGAACTGAACTGAACTAGAACTGAACTAGAACTGAACTAGAACTGAACTAGAACTGAACTAGAACTGAACTAGAACTGAACTAGAACTGAACTAGAACTGAACTAGAACTGAACTAGAACTGAACTAGAACTGAACTAGAACTGAACTAGAACTGAACTAGAACTGAACTAGAACTGAACTAGAACTGAACTAGAACTGAACTAGAACTGAACTAGAAAGAAAAAACTGAACTAGAACTGAACTGAACTGAACTGAACTAGACTGAACTAGAACTGAACTAGAACTGAACTAGAACTGACTAGAACTGAACTAGAACTGAACTAGAACTGAACTAGAACTGAACTAGAACTGAACTAGAACTAGAACGAACTAGAACTGAACTAGAACTGAACTAGAACTGAACTAGAACTGAACTAGAACTGAACTAGAACTGAACTAGAACTGAACTAGAACTGAACTAGAACTGAACTAGAACTGAACTAGAACTGAACTAGAACTGAACTAGAACTGAACTAGAACTGAACTAGAACTGAACTAGAACTGAACTAGAACTGAAGTAGAACTGAACTAAAACTGAACTAAAACTGAACTAGAACTGAACTAGAACTGAACTAAAACTGAACTAAAACTGAACTAGAACTGAACTAGAACTAAGCTAGAACCACACTGTGGGAAAAGTTCAGCTTTTCTCTAAAAAATATTCCGTTTAACATTAGTATGTTTACAAAACTAATTTGAACTTTCAAATATTTGTAAAATCGTTAAAAAATCCCGTAATTTATCTTTATTCGGTAGAAAGGTTGCAATATAATGTTGTTATTATATCCTGCTAATTTGATAAGTTTAGCTCAACTAGCAAACAAGTTGTACATATATCCTTTTTTCTATTAAACAACATTTTGATATGAAGTCAAGTAATTAGAAACTACAATTGATGGCTTAAATGTTTACAAGTTAATTACACTTGATAATTAGTTGTGGCTGTTGATTAAAAAACTTACAAAACTACTAAAATAATAATCATATAAAAGTATGTAGTTGGTATTACAAAACCATAATTTGGGTATTCTATACATTTCCGTAAGAAAAGATTTTATCAAAATTTCCTAGTTTGGCTAATGGAAAAAGTTTTTTTTTCAATTTGTTAAGCAACAAATTCAGCAAAAATGAATTGAATTCTTATATAAATAAAATAAAACCTCAAAATAGCTAGACATTGAATAAATGTACATTAAGTTAGTTGAAGAGAAATAGAGTTTGGCCAAAAAAGGGGAAAAAAAAGCAACTTACGTATTTGGAATGTTGCGCATGGAACGATGTCGAAAGAATATTATCACCAAAGTGCCATTACCCAAGACACCAACAATGAATATGAGTAAGAAGAGTATGATTATGAAAATTGTTTCGGGTCGTTGTAAAGGTGGTGTAAACGTTGAATCAGAATCAAAACCATCAAGTGTCGTAATATCAGCACCCCCACCTGACATTCCTCCACCACCAGTACTGCTGCTGCTGCTGCCAACACCCAATAGACTAGTGCGTGTAATGTTTTCTAATAAAGAGTTCTTCCATATTATATCCGTTGTAGTATCATCATATTGTTGTTGCTGGTTCAACTGCTGTTGCTGCAGCAGATGTTGTTGTGTTAATGTTGTTATTGAAGCTGACGATGATGCTGATGATAGTGATGTCGTTGCTATTTCATCGTCGGACATAATGTGCTGTGATAATGTGTTGCCAACTTCAATAAATGTTAAAGGAAACATATCGACTAAGTGGCCTGTTCAGCCTACAATTGCCACATTAAAAATGTTTACGTTTGAACAAACAGCAAAGGAAACATTTGGTTCTGTGTCCTGTCACACTAGTATGGTCAAGCTTTATTTGTGTTTTTTTCTCTCTCTCTCTCTCCGATTTTCTATTAAGAATTATTTTTTCCGTTTCTTGTCTTTTATTTTTTGGAAAATTTTCTATATTTCTTCTTTAGTTATTTTCAGTAGGCTTGCTTTGTATATAAATTTGCTATGTGTTGGTTTTTTCCTGTATCCTTAAGGAAGTTATTTTAGCTTCTTGGCAATATTACGTTTGTTGATTTATTTTCATATCCGGTTTTATTGAAAAACGTGTCCGAACATTATTGGCAATGTCCAGAGATAGATTTAAACCTTTTATTAGTTATTTAGTATTCCTCTTGGTTTTATAGTACCTTGTTATTTTAGTTAGTATTTTTAGCTGCAAAAAAGGCAACAGGATATAAAGATATTAAAATATTTGTTGGTTTATAAATAATAAAATATAGTAGAACTTCTAGGGAAATTTAATAGAAGAGCAATATAAATACGCAAATTATTAAAAGCCCTTTGAAATTGAGTTCTAGCAGTTCAGCTCTATTTCACTTCTAGTTCTGTGCTAGCTCTGTTCTAGTTCTGTTCTAGTTCTGCTATAGTTTCTGTTCTAGTTCTGTTCTAGTTCTGTTCTAGTTCTGTTCTAGTTCTGTTCTAGTTCTGTTCTAGTTCTGTTCTAGTTCTGTTTCTAGTTCTGTTTCTAGTTCTGTTCTAGTTCTGGTTCTAGTTCTGTTCTAGTGTCTGTTCTAGTTCTGTTCTAGTTCTGTTCTGTTCTGTTTAGTTCTGTTCTAGTTCTGTTCTAGTTCTGTTCTAGTTCTGTTCTAGTTCTGTTCTAGTTCTGTTCTAGTTCTGTTCTTAGTTCTGTTCTAGTTCTGTTCTAGTTTCTGTTCTAGTTCTGTTCTAGTTCTGTTCTAGTTCTGTTCTAGTTCTGTTCTAGTTCTGTTCTAGTTCTGTTCTAGTTCTGTTCTAGTTCTGTTCTAGTTCTGTTCTAGTTCTGTTCTAGTTCTGTTCTAGTTCTGTTCTAGTTCTGTTCTAGTTCTGTTCTAGTTCTGTTCTAGTTCTGTTCTAGTTCTGTTCTAGTTCTGTTCTAGTTCTGTTCTAGTTCTGTTCTAGTTCTGTTCTAGTTCTGTTCTAGTTCTGTTCTAGTTCTGTTCTAGTTCTGTTCTAGTTCTGTTCTAGTTCTGTTTCTAGTTCTGTTCTAGGTTCTGTTCTAGTTCTGTTCTAGTTCTGTTCTGTCTGTTCTAGTTCTGTTCTAGTTCTGTTTCTAGTTCTGTTCTAGTTCTGTTCTAGTTCTGTTCTAGTTCTGTTGCTAGTTCTGTTCTAGTTCTGTTCTAGTTCTGTTCTAGTTCTGTTCTAGTTCTGTTCTAGTTCTTCTAGTTTCTGTTCTAGTTCTGTTCTAGTTCTGTTCTAGTTCTTTCTAGTTCTGTTCTAGTTCTGTTCTAGTTCTGTTCTAGTTCTGTTCTAGTTCTGTTCTAGTTCTGTTCTAGTTCTGTTTCTAGTTCTTTTCTAGTTCTGTTTCTAGTTTCTGTCTAGTTCTGTTCTAGTTCTGTTCTAGTTTCTGTTCTAGTTCTGTTCTAGTTCTGTTCTAGTTCTGTTCTAGTTCTGTTCTAGTTCTGTTCTAGTTCTGTTCTAGTTCTGTTCTAGTTCCTGTTCTAGTTCTGTTCTAGTTTCTGTTCTAGTTCTGTTCTAGTTCTGTTCTAGTTTCTGTTCTAGTTTCTGTTCTAGTTCTTTCTAGTTCTGTTCTAGTTCTGTTCTAGTTCTGTTCTAGTTCTGTTCTAGTTTCTGTTCTAGTTCTGTTCTAGTTCTGTTCTAGTTCTGTTCTAGTTCTGTTCTAGTTCTGTGTTCTAGTTCTGTTCTAGTTCTGTTCTAGTTCTGTTCTAGTTCTGTTCTAGTTCTGTTCTAGTTCTGTTCTAGTTCTGTTCTAGTTCTGTTCTAGTTCTGTTCTAGTTCTGTTCTAGTTCTGTTCTAGTTCTGTTCTAGTTCTGTTCTAGTTCTGTTCTAGTTCTGTTCTAGTTCTGTTCTAGTTCTGTTCTAGTTCTGTTCTAGTTCTGTTTAGTTCTGTTCTAGTTCTGTTCTAGTTCTGTTCTAGTTCTGTTCTAGTTCTGTTCTAGTTCTGTTCTAGTTCTGTTCTAGTTCTGTTCTAGTTCTGTTCTAGTTCTGTTCTAGTTCTGTTTCTAGTTCTGTTCTAGTTCTGTTCTAGTTCTGTTCTAGTTCTGTTCTAGTTCTGTTCTAGTTCTGTTCTAGTTCTGTTCTAGTTCTGTTCTAGTTCTGTTCTAGTTCTGTTCTAGTTCTGTTCTAGTTCTGTTCTAGTTCTGTTTAGTTCTGTTCTAGTTCTGTTCTAGTTCTGTTCTAGTTCTGTTCTAGTTCTCGTTCGTTCTAGTTCTTTCTGTTCTAGTTCTGTTCTAGTTCTGTTCTAGTTCTGTTCTAGTTCTGTTCTAGTTCTGTTCTAGTTCTGTTCTAGTTCTGTTCTAGTTCTGTTCTAGTTCTGTTCTAGTTCTGTTCTAGTTCTGTTCTAGTTTGTTCTAGTTCTGTTCTAGTTCTGTTCTAGTTCTGTTCTAGTTCTGTTCTAGTTCTGTTCTAGTTTCTGTTCTAGTTCTGTTCTAGTTCTGTTCTAGTTCTTTCTAGTTCTGTTCTAGTTCTGTTCTAGTTCTGTTCTAGTTCTGTTCTAGTTCTGTTCTAGTTCTGTTCTAGTTCTGTTCTAGTTCTGTTCTAGTTCTGTTCTAGTTCTGTTCTAGTTCTGTTCTAGTTCTGTTCTAGTTCTGTTCTAGTTTTCTGTTCTAGTTCTGTTCTAGTTCTGTTCTAGTTCTGTTCTAGTTCTGTTCTAGTTCTGTTCTAGTTCTGTTCTAGTTCTGTTCTAGTTCTGTTCTAGTTCTGTTCTAGTTCTGTTCTAGTTCTGTTCTAGTTCTGTTCTAGTTCTGTTCTAGTTCTGTTCTAGTTCTGTTCTAGTTCTGTTCTAGTTCTGTTCTAGTTCTGTTCTAGTTCTGTTCTAGTTCTGTTCTAGTTCTTTCTAGTTCTGTTCTAGTTCTGTTCTAGTTCTGTTCTAGTTCTGTTCTAGTTCTGTTCTAGTTCTGTTCTAGTTCTGTTTTAGTTCTGTTCTAGTTCTGTTCTAGTTCTGTTCTAGTTTGTTCTAGTTCTGTTCTAGTTCTAGTTCTGTTCTAGTTTTGTTGCTGTTCTAGTTGTGTTCTAGTTCTGTTCTAGTTCTGTTCTGTTCTGTCTAGTTTCTTTCTAGTTCTTTGTTCTAGTTCTGTTCTAGTTCTGTTTAGTTCTGTTCTAGTTCTGTTCTAGTTCTGTTCTAGTTTGTTCTAGTTCTGTTCTAGTTTCTAGTTCTGTTCTAGTTCTGTTCTAGTTCTGTTTCTAGTTCTGTTCTAGTTCTGTTCTATAGTTCTGTTCTAGTTCTGTTCTAGTTCTGTTCTAGTTCTGTTCTAGTTCTGTTCTAGTTCTGTTCTAGTTCTGTTCTAGTTCTGTTCTAGTGCTGTTCTAGTTCTGTTCTAGTTCTGTTCTAGTTCTAGTTCTGTTCTAGTTCTGTTCTAGTTCTGTTCTAGTTCTGTTCTAGTTCTGTTCTAGTTCTGTTCTAGTTCTGTTCTAGTTCTGTTCTAGTTCTGTTCTAGTTCTGTTCTAGTTTGTTCTAGTTTCTGTTAAATTCTGCTCAAATTCTGTTCTAGTTCTGTTCTAGTTCTGTTCTAGTTCTGTTCTAGTTCTGTTCTAGTTCTGTTCTAGTTCTGTTCTAGTTCTGTTCTAGTTCTGTTCTAGTTCTGTTCTAGTTCTGTTCTAGTTCTGTTTAGTTCTGTTCTAGTTCTGTTCTAGTTCTGTTCTAGTTCTGTTCTAGTTTGTTCTAGTTCTGTCGAATGCAATCTCTTACGTTTGCTATTAACGTTTTACAAATAAGTCAGATATGTTCTGTAAAATGCTTATGTATGTGTATTTAAATGTATTCAATCATTTTGGAGTAAAGATTATGCTAGTATAAATTCATTAAACAAACCCAAAAGTTAATTAAAGAAATACGAACTTTTCAACTTCAAGTGCACAAAATCTTTAAGGCTTTCAAATGAATTTTAAAATTTCACAAAGAATGTTAATTAATTTTTAATAATTGGTAAAGTTGACCTCTGTTGGCATTAAAGGTTAAAAGATTCCCTTTTTGCTTGCAGACTACAAATGTCTTAATAATTCATAAAATAATAATAATATAATAAGAATAATAATAATAATAATAATAATAATGAAATAATAATAATTCATAATAATAATAGTGAAAAAGGTAAACAAAATAAACTCCTTAAAATAAATTATATATATTAGTTTAAACGGATAATATTTTCTATAAATTTTGCCATATATTCTATTTTCGAACAAAAATTGACAGGTTTTATATGGGATTGAAATATTTATAATCTAAAGTAAATTTGCAGAATTTAAACTGAATTTTTTACAAATATCGTTATAAACCAATCGTGTTGATATTCTTAGAAAGAATGTAAATTGATGTGTTCAACATATCTGCAAATTTGATTAATTTTGCTGCAATAACAAAAAAGTCTGTCATATAATCCTTTTTTTCAACATTACTTAAAGTCTAAGAAAATTGCCTCAAAAGTCAACAGACGTTGGCTGCAATAACAAAACATGTCTGTCTAATATCCTTTTTTATAATATTGTTAAAATTTGCCTTCGAAAATCACTCAATATGTTGAAAATGTTTAAAAATAAACATATCGATGTGGTGCATATTTTAGGCAAATTTAAGTCTTACTACTAAGCGGACAAAATAAGTTGCTCATATATCCTTTTTTAAGGTGTTTAAAATAAATACATATAAAATATGTAAATAAATACACTAATTTTGAACCTTAACATATTTGAAAGTTTTTTGTTTTTAATTAGACTTTATAAAAAGAACACAATTGCTTTGAAACTATAACAAAAAAGTGCATTGAGGTGAATAAAATGTTAATAGGATTTTTTTTACTTCTAAATATAAAAAGGTTAATCTTATGTTTTCTGTAAGAGTCAAAATATTTTGAACAATTTTTGCCTAATTGTAACTTAAGTTTTTTTCTAAAATTGTTTATAAATGTACAAAATTTATTGAATTGTTTTGAAATCTTCACAAGGGACCGCCTTTTGATGTGACAAACATTTTATGCAAATTTCAAACTTTTTACTCTAAAGGCCAAAAAGTACGTTATATATCCTTTTTTACAAATTTATGAAAAATTGTATAACTTTAAGTGAGTTAAGTAAGGTGAAGCGTACGATTAAAATTAAACAAAATCTAAAAAGTTTTGTTAAACAATAACATAGCAAACACCTCTTTAAAATCACAAAACTTTTTCCATTAGTTTGAAAATTATAAATAGAACAAGTTTTACTG